GTTAAAATTATTCCTTTTAAAAATCAACCCGTGGCCGGGCTCAGTGGCTCAGCCTGTAATCCCATGCTTTGGGAGGCCAAGGTGAGTGGATTGCCTGAGTCTGTGGGTTCAAGACCCGCCTGGACAACTTGGCAAGACCTCATCTCTACAGTAAATCAAACAAACAATTAGCCGGGCATGGTAGCGCGCGCCTGTAGTTCCAGCTACTTGGAAGGCTGAGGTGGAAGGATTGCCGGAGCCCAGCAGGTTGAGGCTGCAGTGGCCAGGAGCGGCCACTGCACTCCAGTCTGGGTGACAGAGTGAGACTCCAACTCAAAAAAAAAAAAAAAAAAAAAATCAACCTGCAAACTCCAAACCTGCTAAACATGGAGCATGAGAAATCCAAATAGCCACAAGGTGCTTTCCTGGAAGTGCAAGATAGCATTCTATTCACAACTGTTCCCACATCCTCTCTTTGTGAAGTTATCAGTTTACAACCCCTGATTGTCATGTATACCCTGGAGACAGTTTGTTTTTTGAAAATCTGGTTTGGCTAAATACCACCTTGCAAATTCCAAAGAAAAATGTATAGCCATACAACCCAATCCCCTCCCTTACCTAAACTAACAGATAAAATCCCTCTCCTCTTTCTCTGGGTTGCTCAGCCTTGGAGCATTAGCCCACTGAGTCACTCTGGTGCTAATAAACTGCCACTTCCTAAGATAGTCTCGGTGTCACAGTCTCTGTGTTTTCCTGCAACAACCCAACCATACATTTCTCAGAGCATACCCCCCACCCCCATTTTAAATTTCTCTTAACACCTACCCTTAGGTAGGAGCAATAGAGGGCAAAGTTTTCATCTCCCCCACTTGCTGTCCGTCATTACTCATCCATCTAGAACTACTTGTAGGTCACCTGGGGTTGGAGCAAAGGAGATAATGGCTGGATTCTTCCTGATTTCTGGGGCAGTGCTGATCTGGGAAGCTGGCATCACACGGAAGGTGACACTCATTCACCAAACATCATATGGGGAAAGAGCACCGTTCAGAATGTGTCCTTTGAAAGTGGCTCCTTTTGCAAGCATCTATGTGGCCTCTACTTGGTGGAGATGTTGGAAAAGGTGGCTGTTCTATGTCCCCATCATCATCTGGCTCATGCAGATTGTTTCTTACTGTTTACGGGCTTTTTCTATGTTGTAGTACAGACATGAAGGGCTTGGGTCTGAAACCAGATTCTTTCTGATCCTGGCTCTAATTTACCAGTTGTTTCAACTTGGATAAGTAATTTAATTTTTACAAGACTCAAATGACTTTTGTGTTAAATCTCCATAATCCCCAGAGGGTTACTGTTAGGACCAAATGTAGGTGAATATAAGGTATATAGCACACTGTCCTGCATGTGGTAAGTGCTTAATAAATGTTGATTATTTGCTTGATCATGAAGGGAGCTTACTAAATGAGCTGTGTGTGTACTGCATCTTCTCTGCTTCCCTTACCCTGCTTTGTAGACTTGAGTCAGACCACACGGAATGCAGCAATCACTCAGCCTGGTGATGAAATGGGTTTTTCAAAGTGAGAAGGAGGCCTTGGTAGAAGGGGTTGTGAGCTTTAAAGATACAACCAGCCAGACTTGGTGGCTCAGCCTGCAATCCCAGCACTTTGGGAGGCCGAGGCGAGTAGACTGACTGAGCCCGTGGATTCAAGACCCACCCTGGCAACTTGGCGAGACCTCATCTCTACAATAAATCAAAAATTAGCCAGGCATGGTAGCATGCACCTGTAGTTCCAGCTACTTGGAAGACTGAGGTGGAAGGATCACCAGAGCCCAGTATGTCAAGGCTGCGATGGCCAGGAGCATGCCACTAAACTCCAGTCTGGGCAACAAAGTGAGACTTCCACTCAAAAAAAAAAACAAACTTTTTTTAAAAAAATTAAGATACAACCAGATGGAAAGGTAAGTTCCTTTCAGGAGAAGTAAGAAAGATGGAAGGCTTATTGTAGCTGGCCACACGGCCCAGGACCTCCTGAAGCTGGTGTCTCACATGACCAGCAAGAATGGTGGGTGGCAATGTCCTGGAAAGACTATTGAAAACCACAGAAAGTTCCTCAGAGACCAAGGTTCAGCTGATCAGCCCAGATGGTGCCAGCCCATGAGCATCACCAGAATCTTCCCTTGCTTGAGAAGAGACAGACACTTTGAGAAGCTTGCTTCAGAAGAGACATACACTTTGAAAAACCCATTTCATCACCAGAAGCTCCTCTAGCTTGAGAAGAGACAGACACTTTGAGAAACACACCCATTTCCCTCCTTAGAGCCCATTCCCTCTAGGCTAACCAAATTCCTTTTTGGTAATTACACTTTCATTCAAAACTCAAGTTATGGACTCGAAGTCTTTATTTTCTCTTTAACAGAAACATTGCACGGTAGTGTCTCTATAGCCTCAATGGCTATGAGGAGGGGACTATGAGTTCAATAGACCAACACAGAAACAAAGGCGCTCCTTTTAGGAAGAAGGGGCAAAAAATAAGCTTATATCAAGACTTATTCGCCACAAAATGACCTAATGTTAATACAGATTCAGGAACATCTTCCAGTAATCTTTCACTGTAGTACAATGCAAATATAAAACTTAAAATGACCTTTGAGGGCATGAAAGCATCAGTCCTAAGAGAATTATCTCCTCTGCACATTATCTTTAGGTAGGAGGGCAGAGTTATGCATTTTGTCAATATATTCTTCAAGAGCTAAAAGGAGGGCTTTAAAGCAGTTTATCAGTCACCCTACAGAGAGAACTTGCAGGAAACTCTCAGGCCTTTGCTAGACACACCACCTCATAAAGGTGGTTGTTGCAATACTGGTAGCACAAGGAGTAAGGATGGATTTTTTTTTTTTTTTTTTTTTGAGTTGGAGTCACTGCATCACCCAGGCTGGAGTGCAGTGGCACGCTCATGGCCACCCCAGCGTCGACGTGCTAGGCTGTGGCGATCCTTCTGCCTCAATCTTCCAAGTAGCCAGAACTACAGGTGCATGCTACCACATCCAGCTAATTTTTTATTTATTGTAGAAAACGAGGTCTTGCCAAATTGCCCAGGCTGGTCTCAAACCCCTGGGTTTAGGCAATCCTCTTGCCTCGGCCTTCCAAAGTGCTGGGATTAGAGATGGATATTTTTAACAGCTACTGTCTGTTTAGAATTTATGTTAATTTCTAACCAGTTAAAATCTTAGCAGTCAAGAATAAATGAAAGTATTTTACATACATTTGGATTGCTTACTAGAGACCCAAAGTCAATCAATGTCCACATTTCTTGACTAGGTATAAACCACAGTTAGTATTTAAATGAAAGCAAAATATGCGTAATTCATTAATTGCTACATCTTCCTTCTTGTATACAGAATGTTTCTTGCTCTGGGTATCATATGTAGAGTGTGCTGTATATAATGTATAATTTAAGTGATATCTGAGAGGTGCTAAATACGTATTTAATGATAAGAGTAATGGGACTTATTCATCTTATGAAAATATTAATAACAACCTCAGTTGGAGACTAAATTAATATTGTAATAACATCTTTTTCCAACTAGGGTATACAGGATCCTGGGAGAGTCAGGGATTATTTGAAGCCACCAGACAAATGTGTCACATCTTCCTAAAGTTTCACTTTACTGAAAAGAATGAAGGATATAAAACTTTTTTGTAACAGTAAGACAAACACTGAAATTATGAAGTAGAATAAAAGATTTTGCATGGATTTTCAGATAAAACAGACTAAAATTTCCCCTTGACTCTGGTGTTACATCTCCAGACTTCCCATGTTTGAATGTATTCTTCTTTGCTGTGGGATACTTAATCAAGTTTTTGAAACACTTTTCTTATTAAAACAGGAAAATACAGTAGCATTTGTGGGTCTCTCTAATTTCAAGTAATAATGGGGAAAGGTAACGAGTAAATGAACAGTCTGCATTTTAACATATTTGTGAGTTTAGCACTTGAAGTGATATATACAAAAATGAGAAAAATCCAAGGGTGTTTCCAAGTAAATTTTTCAATGAATACTGCTTGAGTGCATAGATAAGGGTCTGCACTGAGCACATCAGTCATGATTTCACAGGTGTCTAACATTTCTTTATCTGCTTACGTTCTTTGGATAAAGGCAGTCTTTGCAATGAATGCAAAACTAAACTTCAGGCCAAGTCCACATACAAATTGTCACATATTTCCTATTTTTGAAATATTAATGGATATAATTTAGTATATACAATAAATACATATATATTATTATGTGTATTACAATAATACAGAGATTATCATAATATATTATTCTTTAATTCATGCATTTAAAAAGTCAAGGAGTGTAGACCACAGGAAATTTACTGTCTAAGATTTTTTAAAGTTTTGTGTAATGACATGGGTTGTATATGACCATATAAATGCTGCATCATCACTTAGTTGCCTGGCATCATTATACACTGTTGATTTGTGAGGACTAAGGCTGCATTTTACCATGGTTTTAACTTTCTCATTACTGGCTAGTCTTGGCCTCCAAGTAGGCATTCACATACTAACAAAAAAACAGCAATTAGCAAATCAGTGACCCTCTTAAAGAGCCTGTGTTTGGTGATCTTGCCTTCATAGCCATTGGTCACAAAACTGTATTTAAGAAACCAACAACCTCATGGCAGTTTTATTCCAATCTCACAATCTGAGGATAAAGGTCCCTGCCCAGAAACACTTGAATAAATTTCATTCTTATGAAACCCATAGCCAATAAGCAAGCTTGCCAGATTCTATGAAACTAGTAGACTTTTCTATTGTTTATGAACAGTTGATTTGGAAAGGAAGGAAGTAGTTGACTCTCAGTGATTGTTCCAAGCTGACAGGTTATACTTTGAGGTAAACTAACCAATTGAAACACTTGCCTCTTCCATAGTTGTGTGTGTGTGTGTGTGTGTGTGTGTGTGTGTGTGTGTGTGTGTGGTTGTCACAAACAAAACCTTAAAAGTAATATTCACTGGTCTTACAGATGGGGTTATGTACTTTAATATGTTTGGAGACAGTTTCTTATGTTCAACTACTAGGACATACCTGTCAGTATTAGGGTACACTTACTAGGATTATGGAGTGGAATATTTGAAATGGGACTGTTCCAGAAAGTTCAGAATTATAGTTGCCTACAACCAGATGTCCACATTGTGACTTAGTCATTCTTCTCTATCCATTCCCAACCTGCTCATATTGTTTGACTTCTTTAGAAAAATCACAATAACCATGCTGGAGAGGATTTGGGGAGAAAAGAGCACTTTGTGGGCAAAGTCCGTGGCTGTTTGCAGAGGGAGGAGTAGTAGATAAGTTAGGTACAACATGTCACCAAAATGCTGAGAAGATTCATATTCCTACTGAGGAGACAGAAGTGAGGCTGGTTTAGTTCTGAAGATGACCCTGGAAAATTTTAAGAATTCATCTCTTCTACTCAGCTGTTGGGTGAGGATGGGGAAATAGATGAAATTGGACATTTCATTGAGTTATGGGAAGAACTTCTTTTATCCTAGGCTTCTTATTCAGTGTTGTCTAGAAAAGAAGTTCTTGAAGGCGCTGTTGTAGTTCTTGTTGAAAGCTGTGTAGATCAGGGGGTTAAAGAAGGAGTTGGAGTAGCCCAGCCAAAGGAAGATGCTCTTCCAGATGGCGGGGATGTCACAGGAGCAGAGGGGACTGATGAGCTCCGTGAGGAAGAAGGGGATCCAGCAGAGCACAAACACACCAATAAGGATGCCCACCATGAGGGCAGCTCTCTGCTCTTTCTGTTCCCTCCAAGTGTCCCCTTCTGTCTGAAAGGTGACGGTGGCATGGCGGACTGTGAATACCATCTGGGGCTGCTGAGCAGAGTCCTTCACCTGTAAAAGACAAGAGGGCTTTAGGAAGAGCACTTCTTTATGCCTGCCAGGTATGGACCAAGCTGAGCAAGATGCTGACAGCCCTGGCTCCCTTTCAAGAAAAAGCCCTTGCATTTTAGATGTAGGAGCCTGACAGCCTGTGGGACAGCCCCTCGGATATGGAAACAAGGTGACAGAGCTAGAGTGCTTACTTACATCTTGGAAATGGAAGGAACAGAAGTGATTAAGCAAATACAGTGAACATGGAGACCCTGTTACTGTCTGTTCAACAGAGAGAATGACAGAGACAAGCAGGAAATGTGGCATGTATGACTTAGTGGCAAAAGTACACAAGTCATCAAAAGTGTGCTAAAGGCTAGGTGCAGTGACTCAGCCTGTAATCCCAGCACTTTGGGAGGCCAAGGTGAGAGGATTGCCTGAGCCCAGGATTTCAAGACCAGTCTGGGCAACTTGGTGAGACCTCGTCTCTGCAATAAATCACAAAACTAGCCGAGCGTGGTAGCATGGATCTCTGGTTCCAGCTACTTGGAAGGCTGAGGCAGAAGGATCGCCTAAGCCCAGCAGGTCGAGGCTGCAGTGGCCATGAGCGTGCCACTGCACTCCAGCTTGGGCAACAAGAGTGAGACTACAACTCAAAAAAGAAGTGTGCTAAAACCTTATAAACTGTACACTTAGTACCATGCTTTTTTTTTTTGACAAAAAATTTTATAAATGTTGATACCAGCATCCATAATTATCTTAATCTTTTATATACAACTATTAAATGTGATATAAACTAATAGATTTACTACAAGGTAACACATGATTTTTAACATATTTTGATACTTCTTTTCTGACAAGGTTATTTAATTATTTTAAAGATGTGGGATACAATTCAGGATTAGATATACAAGTGGTCATCATACACATAAAGTTTGGGCCTCCCTTTGGTCCCCACTTTATCTGGTTTGGAATCAGGTACCCTTATTGATGTTGTGTTTCCCCCGCCCCTCCCACTCCCGTCCTGGCAATATCTTGCTACTGTCAATCCCTTTCTTATAGTGTTATGTAGTACCACACTTTCTAGCATCTTTATAACTTTCTAGATTCATGTAAGTTCCCTCTAAAATGTTAGAATTTTCTAGAACCTTTCTTCTAGTATAAGATTCCTACTGCTGTGCTTCCTAGAATATTCTATTGAATGGGACAGCCCACTCACCAGGACATTTATCCCTCTCTGGGCTTATTCTGTGTGTCTTCCCTTTCTTTCATAATTATGAAAAACAGAGGCTTTGAACTCTCAGACTTTCTCAACTTGGGTGCTACTAAGTTTTCTACAGGGTAGATTTCTGCAGATTTGGGCTCTCCAGTTTTACTTTCTTTCCTCAGGAATTGAAATTCCTAGGAAAGGAAGCTCTTACTCCATTCTGGTCCTATGTTTAGCTTTTAGGAGAACTGAAATATCGAGTGTCTGATGATGTGGCAGCCTAAATATAAAGAAATCACAATGTTATCCATTTACAAAATTACCAAAGTAATCAATCTAATAATTACTAAGTTTCTGGGAGATGAGATGGCATTGACATTAAATATTATATTATTCTTTCTGCCTCTAGCATACTATGACTCCAGTACATTTTAAAAGGAGAATTACAGTTTGTTCTCAAACAGCACACAATTTTTAGGTAATGGACTGGGTTGGAATATCTATCTGGGTAGTGTAACCCACTAGACTAGTTCTTGGCAAGATCCTTAAAGTGGAGCCAAAAGGAACTGATTTACTATCATACAGAATAACACGTAGAAATAGGAACACTGTGATCAAGATAGTGTTAGTTGAGTTATAAATTATCAAATTTGTATGATAGCCTTGCTGTCATTTATTTGCAAATCAGTAAAGCATCAAGTATTATACAATGTAAACGTTTTTTAATTGAAACAATAGTTCATAATACTGCAACCCTTAAAAACACATATAAGAAATGATAACCCCTCTTTTTGTATCCATTCTCACCCTCAGATAAAACCAGAGTTGACTTTCTGATTAATTAACACATATCTGAGAATATATTTATAGAAATCCAAACAATATTTAGCTTAATTTTCTAGCATAAAGAAAAGAGGGAAAGCTACACATTTCCTTAATAGAACTCAACCTCCAAATAGCATCAGGAAAGTCATTTTCCTCATTGTCCCAATGGAACACATATTCTGGCTGGAACTTCCAACCCTCTGGAATTTCTCTGGACACTTTCTCATGAGTGAGACTGGGAATCTTGGTGACACTGGTCACACTGGAGATAGTAAAGCTGGTGATGCCAGTAAAACATAAGACTTGCTTTGATTCCAGAAGTTTTTATAGTTTGTTCACAGAACTCCAAGATTTTCAGAGAAGTACACATTTTTTTGACCGTGTGAAATGTTAATCATTTAACAGGGCTGTCTTTTGGTGCTGCATTCAATACCAACTCACTTGACAGAAGAGTAACACTGATTTAGAGTGGTGCCTCTGGGACCTCTGGGTACCTCAGCTGTTAGGAGGAAATCTTGGTTGCTTGTGGAGTTTCAGGTTTCTAATGCCTTCGAAAGGTAGATTTGCTTGCTCACTCAGTGACTTTCTGACTTACAGACTCCTCAGCTCTTTGCTTTCTGTTAATCACAATAAAGCACTTTATCGAGTCTGGAGAATAATAGTCTATCAGTTACTACACTCAACAAACTCATTAATAGATTTACTACTAGTAGAAAAAGAGTGAATAAGTTTTTAAAATGTGAACATTCAAACCAAATTATATTTTTTCTAATAATCTCTGAAATTAAAACACATATAAGAAAGAAATGTATTTAAAACACATACCTCATAATTTAAGATTCCTACATAAAAATATCTCTAAGTGAACATTTAGCCTCATCTTCTCCAATAAACAATTCTTTGGAGACAGTTACCTAAATGGTAGAGCTTTTATTCTTCCAAAATTATTATGTGTTCTTATATTTCCTGCTAAGTTCTTATAAACCTGGTATGTTATTATATTTCCTTCAATGATTCTGTTTTGCTTCTTTATTAATACCACAAATAATCAATAGATTACTTTCAATTGTGGGTATTGAAGTTAAGGAATGAAGACTCCTACCTTGAAAGAGTGGTTTCAGAATCAGACTCACCCCCAATAAACAGGCCACTGAGCATCAATCAATCAGCAGCAGTCTCACCTGAGTAAACATCGCTTTGCAGATGATATCAACACAGGGTTCCTCTGAATGTCCTCCAGTCCCTGAATGCCATGCTGTCCCCAGTCACCACAGATGACCTGCATTCTGCTCTTCTCTTGGAGACTGTCTGACAAGCATAGCTTTCTCTTACTATGCTAAGTTGTAAATTCAGCTTTGTCTTTTTATCTGAGATTCTGAGTAGTGGTTGTATCATCCTTGGACAATTCTGGAGGTTTTACTGAGATCATTTTGAAAATGCTGTATGGAATCCTTGGATAATAGTTGCATTTGCTGGGCCCCAAACTCCTCTTACCCTTTGGATTTGCAGCCAAGTGGATCAGACTCAACAACAATTTGAGTTCTGACTAGTTCCACTGGGCTCTTATTGCTTGATGTATTGTGTTATACTAGGTTTGTAACTAAGTACATCCTTGTATAGGGTCATTAGGCTGAGATCTTTATAACAAGTAACTAGATCTTTGATTGAGAGGTTTACTCTTAGATGATTGACTTACATCTTTGTATAAGGCTTCAGACATCTTGTTGTGGAGTTATACCATCTGGCAAATATTGTTGTGCTATGAAATTACTTATTCTACTGGTGTTTGCTTTGCTTTTGCTTTTGTTTGTCTACATGTACAAAGTCTTGTTGCATAGGTTTTTGTTTTGTCCTGAAAAGCCTTTTGTTGTGGTTGCTGTTGTTGACTATAAAAAGGATTATTCTGTAAGGCACAGGTTTGATAAGCTTCAGATCCAACCAAATCAGACCTGAGAGCTAACGATTTCAGAATCATTAGACCAATAACCAACTTTGAAAAAGCAATTGGTCAAACTTTGCTTTGGATCCCCTACAAAGCTTTTGCGTGGGCACTCCTGACTTGTCAATTTGTGAAAGTATGTCACTTTGCTTTCAACTGGATTGGCAAGCATATGGTCTCTTTTAAGCCCTTTTTCACAGATCCTAAGGCAAGATTACAAGCTTAAACTGTTGACCAATCATTGTCACCTCATGGTTTGTCTATGCCAAACTTCTATTTCCTACTTTAAATTGTGTTATAATCCCAACTCTTGCATATTTCTTTACAAATGCCAATTTTTTTAACTTCATGAGTAATTCCTGACAAATCAAAATCAATAAATTAACATATTTAAGAGAAGCTCTAGAAAAATTAGGAGGCAAGCATCAGTTAAAACTCAGCTTCTTTAATTGGTATTTTGAGGCATTAAAACAAAGTTCTTTCAACCTCACTAATCATCAGGGAGATGCAAATCAAAACCACGCTGAGATACCACCTAACTCCAGTCAGAATGGCAATTATCAACAACTCAAAAAATAATAGCTGCTGGAGAGGACTGTTGGTGGGAGTGTAAACTAGCACAACCTCTGTGGAAAGCAGTGTGGTGATTCCTAAAAGCTCTAAATATCAACCTCCCATATGACCCCGTGATCCCCCTACTGGGAAAATATCCTGAAGAACTCAAATCACTCTATAAAAAAGATACCTGCACACATATGTTTATCAAAGCATTGTTCACAATAGCAAGAACCTGGAAGCAACCATGCTGCCCATCAAAAGAGGACTGGATTTTAAAAATGTGGTACACATACACGATGGAATACTACACAGCCATAAAAAGGAACAAAATCATGAATTTCGCAGCAGACTGGATGGAACTAGAGTCTATAATACTGAGTGACCTCTCACAGAAACAAAGATCTGAGTATCACATGTTCTCACTCATGTAATGGACCTTGAACATCTAATGTAATACTAAAAGAAAATGACTGACAGTAGAGGGAAATTATA